AGCACTGGGTGTTATGCACAAACAATGAATCATGGAACACTACATCAAAAACTAATCATGTAATGTATGGTGATTAACATAATAAAAAATTTTAAAAAAACCTAATCAAAGGCAATGAGGAGGGGCGCCTGGGTGGCTCAGTTGGTTGAGTGACTGCCTTCGGCTCAGGTCATGATCCCAGGGTCCTGGGATTGAGCCCCACATTGGGGCTCAAGCAGGGAGCTTGCTTCTCCCTCTCCCTGCTTCTCCCTCTCACTCTGCTTGCTGCTCCCCCTGCTTGTGCTCTCTCTGTCAAATAAATAAATAAAATCTTTAGGAAAAAAAAAAAAGGCAATGAGGAAAAGCAATACAGGAAGGAAGTAAAAAGGGTCAGAGAGAAAGTGGCTGAAAAAGAAGACTCAAAGGAAACTGAACATTCCTACTAGTGTCCTGAAGAAAATGAAAAAACAAAATGAAAATGAGAACTGAACTAGTATTTAGAACTCAAAAAAATTTTTCTGAATGAAGAAAGATCTGAGTATACATGTTAAAGGATAAAATTCTGCCAGAATGAGCAATTCCAAGATCTATCCTTGTAAAGCTATTAGCCGTGGAAGATTAAAAGAAAAAAAACAAAAATTCTCAGAGCCTCCAAGTAAGACATAAATTTTTTTTTTTTTTTTTTTTTTTTAAGATTTTGTCAGAGAGAGAGACGGAGAGCACACGCGAGCACATGCAAGAAAGCATGCACAAGCAGGGGGAACAGCAGAGGTAGAGGGAGAAGCAGGCTCCCTGTTGAGCAAGGAGCACGATGGGGGACTTGATCCCAGGACCCTGGGATCATGACCTGAGCCAAAGGCAGACGCTTAACCAACTGAGCCACCCAGGCATCCCAAAACATGAATTTAAAAGCCAAGAAAATTAGAATGGTATCATTTCTGAAAAGCAATATACAAAGCAAGGCAACAGTAAAATAGCATTTTCAAGACATTTAGTTCATACTGTTTCTTAAGGATATTATATCCAGCCAGGCTGTTCAACATTCAAGGTCATAGAAAAACAGTACAGAATGTGCTAGAACTCATGAAGTCTTATACACATGTGCTCTTCTCAAGGAATCTGTAGGGGATGAGCTCATACAATCTAAGGGTGACCTGGAAAACTTTATAAAATGCTTGCCCCATCCTTTCCCAAAGTCAAGCAAAAAACTAAGACCAAAGGGTAGAATTGAGACTAAACAAAACAGTCATATTAATAAATGAAGAGTCCTGTTTTATTAAAAGAAAAAAATACTTAAATTCATTTGCATTCTTAAGCAAAACTCCATTCCATGCTGTATTCAAGAGATACATTTAAAAGGGCTAAAAGAGTGGACCAAGATTTACCAGGCAAATAGCAATAATGAGATAGAGTTTGCAATTTTGATATCAAAGCAGACTTTAAGTCTAAAAGCATGAAAGAAGGCAAAGGATACTATACAAAGTTATAATTATACAAGAAGTTATAACAGTATGTATAGGCATCAAATAATGCATCTTCCACCTTATGTAAAATAAAAGCTCTAAGAGTTCCAAGGAGAAATATAGAGAAACATACCAATAATGGAAGAGTTTAACGTATCACTATGAGACAGGTGAAGTAGACAAAAAACAAAACAAAACAAACAACATAATAAGGTTCATCTTTAGGCTATATATCAAAGATTATACCCTAATAATGGAGAATATACTTTTCAGTGTGTACAGAACCATCCCCCCAATTAATCATATACTAGGCACAAATATTAGTCACTCCATAGCAGATTCATTATGATGTAATTAAAATTAAAAATGAAATTTAAAAAATTTCTTTATAGAAATTTAAGAACACAACTCTTAGGTGAAAGGGAAAATACAAATTACAGATTTTGTGAAAAATAATTATAATGAAAACCCTACATATTAGAATCTATGGGATACATTTAAAACAGTAAAATAAAAATTCATAACCTAACACATTAATAAAAAAATCAAAGAATAAAAATAAATTCAAGGCAGGGAGGAAAAAAGTTGTAGATCAGAATAATAAATCATAATCCTGGTTCTCGGGGGGGTGGGGGGTGGAGACAAACCACTAAGTAATTTAACCAAGATTTACAACAAGAAAGCACAAATATAAAAAATAAAAAATGACACGGAAGAACTAACTATTGATACAGAGAATCCAGAAATAAGTTATAAGAGTCTACTACCTTGTATTCCTCTATGCAAATAATTTGAAAACTAAGAGGAGGTGGGGATTTCTTAGGCTGTGGAAATATCCCAGATCAAAAGCGGCTGAAGAGACATGACAACTATATTCATGCTTGACCCTAGACTGACTCTTGCACTGGAGGAAGAAAATGCTACAAAGGACATTGTTAGGTCAACTGTCAAAATTATATATGGATGGTAGATTAGATAAAGCGTAAATTTATGAGGTCAACAATTGTACTGTGGTCATGGAAGAAAATATCCCTAATGTCTAAAAATAAATTGTAGTCGTTAGGAGTAAAGAGCCATAATATATGTAATTTACCCTAAAATAGTCCAGTGGGATAAAAGGTGTGTATACACTTGTGTATGCACACATTCATTTATGTACACACAACACACACAGAGGGAATGATAAAATGATAAAGCAAATGGGGTAAAATGTTAACAACAGGTGACTATAAGGGTATACTTTTCCCCCCATTATTTCTGCAAATCTTTTAAGTTTGAAATTGTTCTCAAAAAGTTTTTTTAACTACATTACAAAATTATAATTATGGTACTGATCCCAAGCCTATTTAAAAATTTCATTTTTATGGAAAATTCATTCTTGAAAATGTTAAATTCTCTGGAACTTCAGGGAAGAAATGAAAAGAGCTTACCCATGAATAGGAATGCACAGAAGCTTTTCCAGATTAGAAAGAACAATTCTTACAGTCTCTGGTGTTCTGGAAGAGCCAAACTCTGTCACCAAAAGTGATTTGGTAATATCTAAAAGAGAATGTTTTAAATAATCATTAGAGTTTAACAATAAGAACTCTGATTTAAAAATGTGATAACTTGTAATTCAGAATAAAATAGGACCATTTTTATCCCTCACCCTAGTTGTACTGTATTTCTTTCATTCTAAGCCTTGAAGTATTAAAATTCTGATAAATTTATTATCCTTAAGTGGTTGTTTTTATAATCAAGGAGTCTGCTTCTTAGATCATCCCCAAAAAGTGTAGAATATAACCAAGTTGCTTGCATGCATGATACCTTTAGTGGGAAACAAGCAAATACCTCAAATATTTAAAAAGTAGAATTTAGAAATTAAATAAATATATATTTGAAATAAAACAGAAGTTTGAGTGGTGGCTGACCTCCATTTACTAAGTTGATGGATTACCCAATGCTTTCCATTCTGTCTTTGAAACAACATGACTGAAGCTCATAACACACTCAACACTCTCGGCTAATAGGCTCCCTGTGTAGCATACCCTACACTTCATCTCCTCCCACCAGTGTATGCTTACCAGCTTGTTCTGAACATGTTTATAATTACTGTTTCTTCTAACAATTACATAATCTAATTAAAAAAGTATAAAAAGCAAAAAAATTATAAAAAGGGAAAGGTTTAGTTTCTACAAAAGCTACCACATTACTTTGATTATAAGATGCCATGTTTTTTCACATTATCATTTTAAAAATGATGCACGTCCCAATCTTTGGGGTCTTAGAGTTCTATAAAAAGAAAATGAACTAAAAATCTGCTCTCAAATTAAGTGTTCAAGGAGAAAAATTATAAAAGTGTAGGTGGATTCTGAATTTAGACTGATTTGCAAGTATCTTTAAGTTCCTGATGCACTTAAAAGAATCTGAAATACAAACTGTGGGAAATGTTGGACACGGTTTATGGAAAAAAGGTGACTCAAAACTTCAATGAGCTGTCACATAGAAGACAAAATACCAATCATCAAGGTCATAAAAAATGTAGAGACCTCATTTTTAATGATTCCCGACATTAACAAACTTGTCCCCCCCCTCAGATTTACAGTCTAACAACCGGTTCCAGCAACATCAGATTAGAGGAATTTGACAAAGAATTTGAGATGTAGTGGCTTAAATAAACCACGAACTCCATGGGGGCAGGAAGCCATTCTTATTCATCTTTCTATCCCCAGCACTTAGCAAGCTGCTGAGTCTGAAGTGGTGTTTGCTGGACTATACTTGCCTTCTTTGCTTCCACTACCACATTCAAAACTGTGGTGGAAATAAAAACATAAAGGGAAAATACACACAATTTATGAATCTTTTAACAACTGGGACAACTCCATTGGTTAACTCAGAAACAATAAAACACATGTATATAATATCAACCACACCAAAAAAGAGAGGATAAACCTACCTTCCTGTTGTGAAACCTGTAGTTTTTGACCATTACAAAAAGCTCCCTTTCCTTTCCTGCCAGTATACATCTTATCCTCCAGGCAACTGTATACAACTCCAAATTCCATCTGCAGAAGGAAAAGTTTCCTTTACCATACCTGAGTATTTTCCACCATTAAATCAATACTTTTTTTTAAAGGCAGTAACAAAAAAATCCACTCTATTGAGAATGTTTTCAAATAACTACTATGGGATACTTAAAAATGATAATTTCCAGCTTACACAGAGAAAGGAGGTCATCAGACTTGAATCCTTGACTCTTGTCCCATCCATTTCTCAACTTAAGAGCACCCACCTTGACCTCTCACCCTCCTGCCCCAGATAGGTAAATATTTCCTACTTCCTTCTGTATTATAATTCCTACCCTCTCAAATGTCTCTGAAAAACTCCTCTATCAACTGATCCTTCTTCTCTCAGATTTTCATTCTGGTACTTTCACACCAAATTTCTACCTCCCCCACAAAATTTTCAAGATGTTATCTTCTCCTTTTCCCTTCCCTGCCAAAGGGTAGTCTACACTTCACCTCTCCCATTCTTCTCTTAATAAAAATTACAATTTGGCTTCTGCCCTGATCACACACACTTCTGAAACTTCCCCAAAAGAGATTACCCAGGAACTCCTACTAAGCAAATGCCATCTCCAAAGCATTGGAGACTGCGGACCATCACCCACACTTCATTACTTAATCCAGTACCCCCATGTTTCTGGCAGGACTCTTAGTCCTACCTCACTCACTAATCCATCTTTGTGTCACTTTTTCTAAAGACCTTGTTCTCTGTCCAACCCTTAAAAGTTGTGTAGGTCAGGATTTGTTCACTCTTCCATATCTTCCATTCCCCTCTTGGATGTCTATATTCTTAGAGGTTTGTTCTTTGCAGTCCATAAATTCAACTACCACCTTTAACTGTGGCCTGTTCCACCTATAATCCCATTGTCACAGGTAAGAACCTATGCTTCAGCTCATCTTGCAGAAACCTCAACCAAAGAGGTCAAAGATCACTCATTACCTCATCACACCTCATTCCTTCCCCACGTGTCGTCTTCAAATTTCATCTTGAAAGCACTTCTTGATTTTGGCATTTCCTCAGCCACCCTCCCTCACTGCCCCATCTTAGTTCAGAATCACCCAGCCTGCCCCTCTGGTATGATCTCTGCATCGCTAGAATTATCTGTCACTGTACTTGAAAAACCTCTACTGGTTTTCTACAGCCTAAAAAAATCTAAATGTTCTGACACAGATAGGCGACAGTGCCTCACAATAAAACCACAACTAACTCACCTCATCAATTCTGCTCCTGCCACTTTCAGAGTTTCACTCACAATGAACATCTCGTTCCCCACACACATCATGCTCTTCTCCAAGCTGTTCTGATTAAAATGCTTTCCTCCTTTTCTTCTTTAATCTGAAAAACTCCTACATTTCTAAAACCCAACTCACATGACCAAATTCTAAAGACCCCTTCTGTATGAAGATTTCCCCAAACCACTCGGGCAGAATCGGATACACCCCTCTTCATGTTCCCACAGCATTTGTTTCATAGTTTACTACATATTTACCTGTTCGCACATCTAACTTGTGCCTGAACCGTGAGTTAATTCAGTGGCAGGGACAGCACATAGCCCAAGGCTGATTATATGCTAAAGGCTCCTTTAGCTTCTTTCAGATGTTCTCACTAATGAGCGCAACCCTGTGCCTAAGATGTTTTATTTTCATAGTTTTTTTAACTCTCTTGTGTACATGCTGATCAAATATATCACAAGTTCCTTGAAGACAGGTGTGTAAGATGTTAGTAAACATCACTCATTGTTTAATCGATCAAATAGCCAAACAGCAAGGAAATGCAATTGCTACAGATTGTATTCTACTGGGTTTTAGATATAGCAAGTATTTGGGTTCCTGAACATACTCAGCATTTCCCAACCATGTTCTCGCCCCTACCACTTTCTGGTCTTTCAAAGTCTCCCTTCACTGACCCCTATTAAGACATTCCTAGCTCAAATCCCACCTCTTCCATTTAGCATTTTAGATCACACATCAACTCCTATCACATCTGACTCTATCACATATATAATGGTGATTAAATACTGAATTGTATTTCAGTTACTTGCATGTATTTTTTCCTTTTAATTATTGCTTCTCAGACATTAAATTTTCTTTAATGGAAAAAGTATTATGCCAATTTTAACAGTTCTGCAGCTTACTTTGAAATAATGCAGCTATATAAATTGAATAGAGACAAACCTAAATTTATTACAGACACATGTACTCTTTCTCAGAAAATGAGAGCAAGGCATTTTACCATAAATTTAAATAGCATACCTTTTTATTTACAGTAAAGCCAATCGAAACAGCTACAAAAGGAAACCTTTAAAAAAAAATACACACACATATATACAAATTTACCAAGATAAATTTTCAATAAACATGTTTTTTCATAATGTAATGGACTATATAACTTTTCATATAAATAGTCTCATCCCTCCTCCCACAGAACAGTGTGTATAGTATGCAGCCCTCTGTGTAAATAGGGGAAATATGGGGAGAGGTGGTGCATATACATACATACATACATACATACAGGATGCTTCTAGCTTCTACAGGCATGAAACATCTCTGAAAGAATTCACAAGAAACTGGTAACAGTGGCCACCTCCAGAGATGGGTCCTGAGCAACTGCAGTCAGAAGTGGGAAGGACACTTTGCACTGTATGACATTTTACATCTTTGGAATGTCAAATGCCATGAATATAGTAACTAATTTTTTTTTTTTCAAAAAATAAAAAAATTTAAAAAAATTTTTAATTGTTCATGGTTAAAAAGTCTCTTTTCTTTGGTCATTTCTCCCATAGTCAGGACCTATAAACACAGATATCAAATTGTGCAGAACAAACTGTTACTTGTCTTTAATACCAAACTTGGGAGTTTCACACGTGAAAAGTAAACTGTTAGCCACAGCTATTGCTATGGCTGCATGACAGTCTGAACACACAGGTTGTAATTTCTGACTCCAGAGTCAAGATGAACAAAATAAGAAAATGTGTTCAACTACTGAAAATAAAACGTTTAATATTTAATAGTTTTCATTTTAACAAAAATGGGATCATAGTATACACTCTGTATTAGAATTTTCTCTGTTATGTCATGAGCATCTTTCCACATTAACACTCCACATATAGATTCTAGATCTTAGCTTTACAGACTTTAACAATTCTGTACTAGTAAAGATATGTATAGCTACATGGCAACTTCAAATATAACATTTATGTGTAATCCCAACAAACTAGGCTACCCATTTTAACTGTCACCGGCAATTCCCTCAGGCTTTCTTTTAGTGCTAATATACTGAGTTACATACTTTGTGCCACACACTACACTAAGTTCTTATATAAAAGTATTACTCACTGAATCCCCTGAACAAACAGTTCTATGAGGCAGGTACAAGTAAGATGCCCATTTTACACATTAAAAAAACAACAACGGAGTCTTAGAAAGATTAAGTAACTTGCCTAAGGTCACAAAGCCTATAAAAGCATCTGGAATCAAGCTCAAGTCTGTTGATCCTAAAGCCCATGCTCTTTTTGATAGTTTTTTCTCCCGGACTGAACCTACTCTATATAGACAACATTCTACGTGACCCCCAAAATTGACTCCATTAGTTCCTTAATCTCAAAGCAGCAATGTTGCTTGCTTACATTTTTATATGGTTCCACCAGTCAGAAAAAAAAATGAACAGGGCCCCTCGCTATACAAGTCCACAGCATGAATATTTCATCATCTCTTCCATATCTGATGAAAATTCTGCATAATACATTTCACTCTACAAATTATACAATTCTCTAAAGTATCTAGGTCCATTCAGTTAGTATACAAACAAGTAATTACAATATTAACATTTTAAAACATACCTATGTACAAAATTCGTTGTTCCATCAATAGGGTCAATGATCCATGTAGGGCTGTCAGTTAAGACACTTTTTTCCCCAGCTGCCACAGATTCCTCACCAATGAAACTAAAAGCAAGAAGGACAAATTCCAAATATTCACACTGCTTTCAATAATTTTCAAACCTAAACATTTCCTTAGATTCAGAGTCTACTTTAATACATAACAAAAGTCCATATGCCACTTTCCTATTGTTGTTCCTTCTTCCTTCAGACTGATAAAGTGAGAAAACTTTATTTCCCCCAAAGTTATGTGAAAAATAAAATTCAAAATTCTCAAATCCAATACCAGGGTAAATAAAGGCACTCACATGTGTGTATGTACACACATCTGTTGCAGATGAGAACTTACTAAAGAAATGTGGTTTTTAAAAATAACTCCACAAATTCTCTCATGCTCTTCTCTTTAAGAGGTAGAACCTAACACCCCTTGCCTTGAGTGTGAATTTGAACTGAGTGACTCTCTTCTAACCAAGAGTCAAAGCAGAAGTTACAATATGCAACTGTGAAGACTCGTTCACAAAAATGGTACTGTGGTTTCCATCTTATTTACTCTATTTCTCCCTCTGTCCCTTTCCTTCTCTTGCCCCAGGGGAAGCCAGCCACCATGTTAAGAGCTGCTCTATGGAGGCCCAAATAGCGAAGAAATGAGGGGAGCTGCTAGCAGAAAACCCATGAGGAACTGAAGTCACCAACAATCACGTAAGTGAACTTATCCTTCAGCTCTAAAATGCTACAGCCCTGACCAGCAGTTTGACTATAACTTTATGAGACCCCGACCAGAACCATGCAGCCAAGCTACTCTCATATTCCTGACCCTTGAAAACTCTGAGATAGTAAATGTTTGTTATCTAGAGCTGCAAAATTTTTAGGATAATTAGCTATGCAGCAAAGGACATCATAGAGAACATTAAATAAGTCGATGAGAAAGCAAATTACCCACCAAAATTACTGTGTCTACATGCCTTCCTAAAACATGCTATGCAATAAATCTCAGGTGAATTTTGTAAATGGTGTCTGAGTTCATTGGTTTTTTTTCTTTTATTCATTTTCTTTCTTTTATTCAATACTGAACTATCCTATAATCATTATGATTTTCTTTCATCCCCTTTTCACTCAGCTGTAAGCCTTTTTACTAAGAGGATGTATATTTAGCCACAGCTTTAAACATTTTTTCTTTTCAATGGCTAAAATATCAGGAACAGATAATGGCATGACCAAGAAACAGAAAATTAGGGGCACCTGGGTGGCTCAGTTGGTTAAGCATCCAACTCTTGATTTCAGCCCAGGTTATGATCTCAGGGTCATGAGCTTGAGCCCTGTGTCAGGCTCTGCGCTTAGCGGGGAGTCTGAGATTCTCTCTCCCTCTCCCCACCCACACCATGTACACTCGCTCTAAAATAAATAAATCTTCAAAAAAAAAGTAGAGAATGACAATGTTAAAACTTTAAAAGGATGACAATGTTTCTGCTGTATGTCTCTGTAAGAGAGCCCTGATTTTAGTGTTTTCTCTCAAACTCGTTAAAGTTACCAACACTCTAATACATAAAAAAGTGTGCAATATAGAGAATAAAACTTCTAAATCATAACTGTGGCAGGTTTATCATATTAGCTTCCCAGCATCCAAACACTCCTCTTACTACGAAGGAATCCAAATACCTCCTGTTTGCTCCTTCCTGGCAGCTTGAGCTTGGGCAAGCAACTGGAGTTCAGCAAGACATTCCTGCTCAGGATCTGTAATCTTGAGATAATGAGGCAAAGATATCCAAAGCCAGCAGTCATGAAGCTAACACCGGTGGCATCTGAAGCAATGGTTCCTGGGCACCTGTAGCACTGTCTTCCTGACTTCTGCCTATGCCCTGCTCTCAGGGCTCCTGAGCTGCCCAACACTCTCTAAATAAATTCCTTTTCAGCTTAAGTTAACTAAAGTCAATTTCTGTGTCTAGAATCAAAATTTGTCTAGTACATTGACTCTAACCTAAGTTTCAATTATCATGTGAAACTAAAATAAAAAATACCTGTGAGATGGATACTTTTCCTTTATGGACGATATAAGCATTTTTTCAATTTTTTGGTCAGTAGCAGTTACCAAATCAGCTGGAGAACTTTTAATCATGACATTCATTTCATTTTTTATAGCTTCACGAACCACCTAAAAAGATTTTTTGATAAGCAAATAGAAAAAGCATATATCATTTTAAATCAAACTAAAAGATGAAATATAGAAGTGGTTTAAAACATTCAATCTGTCTGAAATGATGTTCTTAAAAATGTCTTACCACAATGTATATAAAAGAAACTTTCAGTGGTTATGACATTCTAGGTACAAAATCATACAATCTTACATCCTATTTTAAATTCACATTTGTCATTAAAAAGGTTTAACGACATAAAATCAGAGTATTGACTCCATTGAAAATGTTTAGTAAAATGAAAACAAATACAAATTAATCAAAATGCATGTGTTATTTCACAGGACAACCACATGCTGTCCACATTCATCACATTATGGCTGACAAGATTTCAGTTCATACCTCTCCAGCTTGTCTTGCTAGGGTTACTGCATAATCCATGCATTCCTGCCAAGGATCAGCCATCTTCCGAATAGATTTAACACAAGTCAGGACAAAGCAATTAAAAATCTATAAGTCTTAATTACAGAACAGTTAGTTCGGAAAAACATCTCAATTAGCACAATACTTTCATTCAGGAAATGAATCACATGTACAAAATCACAAATGTAATTGCCCTCTTCCTGGTGTTAGAGTTCAATGTTTTTCAAGATTCACTCATAGGTCCTTTAAAAAATATTCTTACCTAAACCACTTCTATTGTAGAAATATTTACATAACAAAAAAACACTCTATAAAAGTGTTTCCCAAAGTGCCCATAACAACGTTTAAAAAAAAAAAAAAAACACTCGGGGCGCCTAGGTGGCTCAGTCATTAAGCGTCTGCCTTCGGCTCAGGTCACAATCCCAGGGTCCTGGGATTGAGCCCTGCATCTGGCTCCCTGCTCACCCGGCGGGAGGCCTGCTTCTCCCTCTCCCACTCCCCCTGCTTGTGTTCCCTCTCTCGCTGTCTCTCTGTCAAATAAAATCTTTAAAAACAACAACAACAATACTCGATTGGGGGATGGAGAAGAAAGGATACAGAAGTATTTTAAAAGATAAGTGCATGTTTGGGTAGAGAATAAAGTGAAAATAAAAGAACACTGGGAATGCTGAAATTGAAGCTTTGAAAGGAAGGCACAGAAGGTATATACTCAATTCCGATGTTAAAATCCTCTGATCTTTCTATTACAACCTGTGAGGAAAAGAATATTCCAGGACAAAAAATAAATTTCCCAGAAAAAAATAACATTTTTGTCTTTTGAACTGTCCAGCTTTCCACTGACTTCTGAAGAGAATACCAAAATAACTCACCACTGGCTTGACCACACTCTAAAATCGGAACCTAGGACAGTGAAGCTTTGCAAGTGGCCAGAAAAATGTGGCATCATTTATAAAGCAACCCGAAGGATGCCTGGGTGGCTCAGCTGGTTAAGTGTCTGCCCTCGGCTCAGGTCATGATCCCAGAGTCCTGGGATCCAGTATCCGGCTCCTTGCTCAGCAGGGAGCTTGCTTCTCCCTCTGCCTGCCACTTTTCCCTGTTAGTGCTCTCTCCCTCTCTGACAAATAAATAAAATCTTTAAAAAATAAAATATAAAGCAACCCCAATTTTGTCACTTTTATAATTGAGAATAACTGACACACTTTCACCTTAAAGACTACTCAGAATTCCCTACCATGGTGCTCACAGTATAGGAAAGAGGAAAGGAGGGGAGGACAAAGGGCAGAAACAGTGAGGTGTTTCTGCTGGTACTTGCCCTTTTTTTTTTTTCTAAGATTTTTTTTTTTTTAATGTAAAAGGGAAGCCACTTTTCAAGTTACAGAAGCCACTGCTTAGAGTGTCTCAAGAATTGTTTCCACATTCTTTTTTCTTTTTCCATTCTTACTCCATTCCTCTCTTCCAGGCTTAACAGAACAGTGCATCTGCTTTGTTGCCAGAAACTTTGCTCAAGCCTCTCATATCTCTGCCTTCTAACAGTACCCACACAGATATAACTCCTACCAATTCTTCAATGCCTATTTCAAAAGCTACCCCTTCTAGGGATTCTCCATTCAGAATTCATTATTTGTTTAATCATCTGACAGCTATCTGCTGAATACCTATGATACACTGTGCACTGCATCATAGTGAGGAAAACAGGCCCAGTTCACTTACTTGCTAGTGGGGAGTCAGATATTAATAATAAAATCAGACTACATGCAAAATCACAAATGTAATAAAGCCTAAGTAGAAGTACAATGAGAGAACCATGTAACAGAAGAGCCTTAACCTGGCCTTAGGTATAAGATAAGGTTGCCTTGACAACATGATTAAACCAAGATCTGAAGGACAAGTGAATAGGCATTAACTAACTCAACTGCAGGATGTAAGTGAAGAGTAACTAAAAGGCCTAAGTGTGACAGCTAGGAGATCAAGGGATGAGACTGGGGAGACAGTAGGCATCATCCCAGGCAGGGCCTTAAAGGTAAGATTCTCACAGAGCCATGAAGAATCATTTCACCACCGCTATAGACGATAACAGATTGGAGGGTGGAGGGAGGAGTGGAGAGTGGGTGCTGGGTAGACTGGACTGGAGGTTTAGATTTAGGATGCAGTAGTCCAGAGGAGACCCGAACGTTGGCTTAGACATAGGAGAGTGGAGGGAGAGGTGTTTATAGAGAAGTTTAGAGAATGGAGAGATACTTGCTTTAGGAGATAAAGTTGGGGGCATTTAGCAATAATTTGGATATGGATATGAAAGGAAGAGTTCAATGATGCCCAGATTTCCCACTTTTAGCAACTTAATGGCTAATAGTGACATTCACTGAAACAGGCAGTAACAGAAAAGAGTCAATTTGGAGATCTGGATAGGTGGTGAAGAGAACAAAAGTTTAATTAGTAGAGGATGAGAAGCCTTTGTGAAACCAAAAGGAGATGTCAATTAGGCAGCTCGACTATGGATCCCGAGCTCACAGAAGAGATATGACCTGCAGATATAAATACTATGTAAGTCACCTGTGTAGGCAACGACTGAGTCCTGAGCCTGAATAATATTCCTAAGGAAGGTACACACAGTGAAAAGCTGGGAGGATGCCTTGGCCTGGAAGAGCCCATAAAGCTCCTGCATCACACTTAGGGCACTCAGGAATGTCTTCCTCACGTTTTGATCATTTGCGTAGGTGCCTTATATTCACAACTACTTTGAGCATATTTCTTGATGGAAATGAGCATATTCTATTCACCTTCACTTTCCTAAAGACAAACGCCTGAAACATTCCCAACTGTTTCTGTCCCGGTCACAGCCTTCCTGACAGTGGGAACCATGCCACCTTCCTGTCACCTGTCCCCAGCAGGGCGACTGCAGACAGCATGACATGAGGGGCTCACACTGGGACTGCGTGACCCTGGATATATGCCAGGTCTGAGCTTCCTTGGAATCAGTAAAAATGAAAAAGAGAACATTATTCTACGTCAGCTGCCACAAAGGTTCAGAGAGAACGCGTGGGCGAAACCGCTACACGACGTGGGGCCTGTTCCCGGTGTCACTCGGCGGCCGGGGACAAGGATAACACCGCAGGGATAAAGGGGCCCCGGCTGCGGCCTCGGACCCTGCGCTCCCACCCACCCCGGCCGCGGGCGCGGAGGGCCGCCCGCAGCACCCAGGCCCGCACCTCCGACCCAGACGGCCCGACGGCCCATATGAAGTCGCAGGAACGCAGGACTTACCTTAACTTGGGGTCCGTCAGACTCACCAGGCTACCAGCGGGATCTGTGGCTGGGTTCTTCCTGAGAGAGCGAGAAATCTCCCCGACAGGAAGTCCCACCCCTGCGGCCCCGCCCACGTGGGCGTGACTCCTTCGGGCCGGCCGCCCTGAGCGCGCGGGTGTGAGGCTCCTGCCCCACCCGGCCCCGCTGGCCTGAGTAGGCATTGGAGCTTTGGCCTCTCCTTAGTTCTGGTTCCAACTTCCTTTCTGCAGCCTGCGCAAAAACTTGAGAAATTAGCTTTTTGGTTCTTCATTGTCAGTTATCTTAAAAATAATCTTGCCAGGGCGCCTGAGGGGCTCAGTCGGTTAAACACCTGCCTTCAGCTCATGATCCCCAGAGTCCTGGAATCGAGTCCCGCATCAGGCTCCCTACTCCTTGGGGAGCCTGCTTCTCCCTCTGCCTCCCTCCCTATCTCTCATGAATAAAGAAAATCTTTAAAAAGTAATCTTGCCAACTGCATAGCGACTAGTGTTGATCTAACCAAATAAAATTTTCCAGGCATTTGCAGAAATGTCACCAGAGTCCTCTTTAAGTCTCCTTTAAATGAACACGGTCCCACTACTTTGGCAAAGCTGCTATAACTAAAATCAACATAAGCAATGTTAAGTCAGAAGATCAAATCTTATTCCTTATTCAAATTAAAATCACTTATCACTTCCCACCTCAAATGAGCAGGAAGTCCTTTTTCCATGGGCCTCAGCTGCTACCTCACAATTGTTCTCAAGTAACTGGAGGGTTTGCAGTCCAAAGAGACTGTTGGACTTCCAAATGCCTGAAAATGAAATGAGAAATCGTGTAGTGTACAGGAAAGTCTAGCGCGAAGATCCGGTTTTGGCAGTGTTGCAAACTGGTCCCACACAATCCAAAATATTTTTATTCAGTGCTGTGAGTTTAGAGGGCTGCAGAGGTCTCAGTACCTGGTATATTGCTCTTGGCTTCCCAAAGGGACGATTTTTAAAGCTACATCATATCTACATCCATTGTTCCCAGTACCAAAGATTATCTGTTGTTCCAAGTGGTTAGGGGAGGGGTCAGATTCCAGCATCAGACACATACCATGCCAGGACAAAATCTGCTTCCTGATGTGGCATCCAGGTCACCATTCCAGACTTCCCTAAAAGAACATTCCTCTTCTGAGTCTTTGAGATATCCTTTCCTACCAGCTGACTTCCATCCGTGAGAAAGGGTCTAATTATGCTAAACTTCAAAATAGGAAAAGAGGTGAGATCCAATGCCTTTGATACTTTCCCAGACACCTGACTATAGAAAGAGGGGCTGGTTTGGGGGAAGAAGGTCCCTTATCAAGCCACAAAGTGCTTAGGTCACATATCTGCAAGAGCAATAAGTGCTCAATTGTCCTGTATTTGAATAAAGAGGGACCACCGTGGTGATTCCTTTCCCAGGAATCTTGGGTATCTTGTTAACTCTACTTAAATGTCTGGAGCTGATTTCTTTTAGATGGCAACTCTCTTCACTGGAAAAAAAAAATTCCACATACCAAGACTTTTTTTAGTGGACTTTGATTTTAAAATAAAAATTTAACACAATGGTGCAGGTCCTCAGGAATGGAGTCTCCAGGATACCTAACAAGATTTCATGTTTTGACATAACAGATTAGAATTGCAGATAGAATTTTTATTCTTGGAACAATGTATCAACCCCCCCCTTTTTTTTTTTTTTTTTTTTTTTTTTTATTTTTTGAGAGAGAGAACGAGAGATAGAGAGCACGAGAGGGAAGAGGGTCAGAGGGAGAAGCAGACTCCCTGCCGAGCAGGGAGCCCGATGTGGGACTCGATCCCGGGACTCCAGGATCATGACCTGAGCCGAAGGCAGTCGCTTAACCAACTGAGCCACCCAGGTGCCCTGTATCAAACCCCTCTTGAGGGTTGGAAAGAAACTATTAAAAAGTGTCTTACCTCTTGTCTAACCAATCCTGGCTATATAAAATGACTGGTGTGAACTCAAGCAATCAGACAACATGCTTTATGCCTCATTCTTAAAAAAACAATAACTTGAGAGGCGCCTGGGTGGCTCCATCGTTAAGCATCTGCCTTCGGCTCAGGTCATGATCCCAGGGTCCTGGGATCAAGCCTCGCATTGGGGCCCTGCTCAGTGGGAAGCCTGCTTCTCCCTCTCCCACTCCCCCTGCTTGTGTTCCATCTCTGTCAAATAAAATCTTTAAAACAAAACAAAAAATAATGAGTAACTTCATCCCCAACAAAATTAGACAAATTTTACCATGTAAAAATCCATCTTCCATGATACATCTATAAGAGAATATATATTCCTACTTCCATCGTGCACATTCAGCTGCTCTTAAGGTTACAGATCATTCAAATATGTATAGAGTAAGAACAGAGTTTACTATGTGTTTAGCATTGCTCTGAGGGCCTTAATATTAGCTCATTTAACCTTCACAACTATCATCATACTATCATTATCCCCACTTTCCATATCAATTTAGGCCTAGAGAGGTTAGGTAACTTGACCAATGTACCCCAGCTGGTGACAGAACTAGAAGTGCAGACCCAAGCATTATCTGGTTCTAGAGTATATGATCTTGACCTTTATAGATATTGGTGATTAATCCAGTGTTTAGTAAGAACCAACTTTATTCAAGGCATTGAGGTAAACACTGTAGGGAATTAAAAATAGTATTTGGTCCCTCCTCTCAAGAAGCCCTTATTTTTGTTGTTGCAGCTGTGGGCTATTATTCCCCATCAACCTGAACCTTCTTCACTTTGTCCCATCACACTGCCTATGATGTTAGGTTCTAGCGTTTTATGCCAGAACCACACACTTAAAGAATGAGCAAGATCTTAAACTTCAGTTGAGTATCCTCATTTTACAGATTTGCAAAATGAAATGCAGAGAAAGGTCTTATTTGAAGTCACAAGGTTAATAAAATGTAACTAGAAAGGCAATTTGTCTCCTAATCAATAACGTTCAGGGGCACCTGGGTGGTTCTGTTGTTCAGCGTCTGCCTTCGGCTCAGGTCATGATCCCAGGGTCCTGGGATTGAGCCCCGCGTTGGGCTCCCTCCTCGGCGGGGAGCCTGCTTCTCCCTCTCCTCCCCACTTGTGCTCTCTCTCGCTATCTGACTCTCTTTCAAATAAATAAAATCATAAAAAATAAAGTATGTTCATGAAAATGTATGTAAGTTACATTTGTATAAGCTTAACTATAAACTCTTAAGTGGAGATTTCTGTTTAAAGGAGTCAGTGAAATATTCCATGTAGGCAATTATTTTATAAAGTGAATAACAACCATCTACCACCATGCCGACCAGGTCTTTTATAAATCTTGACATTCATATACTGGGTTTGGTGAAATTAGAAAAAACAAAACTCTGGTTGTCCTATTAGCTGGCAAATTAAAAATTCCCTAATACTATGGGTAAGACAGTGAATATCACTAAGAGGAAAATGTTCAAAGTCTCAGGCTCCATACGGAGTTACCAGATTCATACTTCATAGATATTTCAGGGTCAAAAGTTTAACCTACGATAAAATAGCAGCAGCTAACACTCAGTATGGACTATGTGCCAGGGACTGTTCTAAGTAAGTACACTGGAAGTATGATCTCATTTAATTCTGTGGAATTCTGAACATGAGAGACTCCATTTTGAAGCTTCATTTTCCTTTCTAACTAGTGAATTCTTGAACTGGGCCAAAAGTGGCAACTTTTTTTACAATGAGTTGCTAAACAGAACAACTGGCATTAGGACCATAAAACTGTTGGTATGAGCTTTAAGAAGACAGAATAGTTAACTAAAACATACTAAGATTAGTTTTGTTTGATAGCACCAATTAAAGTCAGAGTAATCAAAAGCAGCTCAACTAAAAGGGTTTTATTTTTCTCTATCAAAATAATGTTATTACCCCAATTTTTTCTCAGAATAATCTCTTGTCTTCCCCACATGAGTGGGACACTTTTCCAGTTAACACAATCTGTGCTCTCTGAATTGCAATTCGGAGACCCCAAATAAAAGGCCTTTCTTATTCGTTTTCCACCTACTTTTCTTGGTTGACAATTCCCACAACAATTTGACAGTTCACATTACCTCCATTTTTTTAGACAGGGAAACTGGACTATAGGAAGATTCATTTGCCTACAACTACAGGGTAAGAAAATGTCGGAAGCAGAATTAGAGAGATATTTCTCATTACTGATGCCCATACTATCTTTGGAGAAGAGTGCAAACTCAAACTAGATACTAAAATTGCCACTGATCATTCAAAAGTGGTATAAAACAAGCACACTATTCCTTTGGGGCCTGTTAGTGCTTTAGCCCTTTGGGTAAGTACATAGGAAATGTGCTAGACATGGGGAGTATCAAAATGAATATTGTTTATACTAATATATTGTTTATATATTATGATTGTAGTTCTCATGTTCAAGGATTTATAGCAAAACAGAATATGACAGGAACACACATAGTTGTAAAACAAGCCAAGCTGGCTAAATATGAAATATAAAAAAATTGAGAATTTAGAGAAAATTTCACTTCCAAGTTGCTAAGTGGGATTAGCAAAAGCTTCATGGCAAGGCTGACACTTGAGCCAGGCCTGCAGAAGTAGTCAGAATTTAGATGAGGCCCGCCCCTCAGGTTGTAGGAACAGTGTGAACAAAGGCATATTCATGAGATACCAAGTCATCCGGCTTGAATGGAGCAAAGGCTGTGTGTAAAGAAGTGGGAGTGGAGCTACAACTGGAAAGTGAGAATGAAGTCAGATAGTAATAAAGAAATGGCTCGCTAAGGAATACAGACTTTATTCAAAAGGCTAAAAAGCTTGTAGCAGGGAAGATACATAATCAAAGTTAGATTTTAGGAAGATTAATCTGACAGTGATTGGAGAGTGGGTAGAGGGGACAAAAGCCAGTTAAAGGTTTAGGGAAGCAATGATACAGGGCAGAAAAAAGTGGCATTACTGGAAATGAAGGGGAGACTGATGAAAAGCTATTATAGGAAATTTTCTGTAGGAAATAACTGGACTATAAAGGAGAGAATGAAGGAAGAAAGGAGAAAAGGGGCAAGAGATGACCCTGTGTTTCAGTATAAATGGTAATGTCTTTAGTGACACATGTGCAAGACAAGTTATGAGAGCAGAGGCTACATTTAAGACCAAAAAAAAAAAAAGACATTCTGAGGAGCCAATGAGAGATCCAAGTAGGAATTTACATATTCATTCACTGTGTGAGCATTCACTGACTGCCTATTACATGGAGAGCCCTTCCATAAATACTTGGGATATATCACAGTCACTAAAGGATTATTTATTGCTCTTTCCTGTTTATGAAACCATAATAAAGTGTCATATTTAAATTCAACTCTATAAAAGATTTCCAAACCAACACAGTTGAAAAGTGATTTCCTTCCTCTGAATGTCTGCACATTTAACTGTCTGTACTACTCATGGGGTGTTTTAGCACTCCCCTAGTATCAGGTTTTCAATCAGATCATAAGTATATTGAAAACAGGCATCATTTTAGATATTCTTTGAATCTCCCACAGTACCTCATTCAGAGTAGGAATTCAGTAGTGCTTTAATTGTTAGGGATTTCTTTCTCCTTTTATCTTCTATGATAAGGATACATCTTTTCTTAGCCTTGTAGAACAGAAAGGAACAGTAACATTTCACAACCAAAACACATGACCACTGTAAAAGGAGCCACAGAAGCTAAGTCGGTCTTGGACCTTGAAAAAGAGCTGAATAATGGCAAGGGCTAAGAAACTAGCGTCCCATTTTTGGTAGCAACTTTACAAACAGAAAGAGGCAGCACAGAAATGTTAGCAAAGGAGTACCCAAACGACAAACCCAGAGCAGGAACTAAGACACCCAATAAAGGCATCTCTAGGTTAACTATCTTTAGAAACATTCTGAAAGTCTAATAAATCCCTACAGACATTAAAACTCAGAGTTCTAATTATTCTTTCCGAGAAGTTTGCTTTTTCAGGTATTTTATACTTGACTATTCCAAATGATAAGTATAAAAAGGTATATATAATTTTAGAAACAGGAATATGAAATGTGAAATGAAATGATAACCCTAACATCCTACTGTATATATAAGAACTGGCAAACATCAGGGCACCTGGGTGGCTCAGTTGGTTAAGCGTTTGCCTTCAGCTTGAGTCATGATCTCAGGGTCTGGGATTGAGCCCCATGTTGGGTTCCCTGCTTCTCCCTCTCCCTCTGCCACTTCCCCCTGCTTGTATTCTCTGTCCAATAAAAATCTTAAAAAAAAAAAAAATGGCAAACATCAATATCAAAGCCAATAACACTAAAGTGCAAGTTACCTAAATGACCAAATGATATCTCCTTCTAGAAGCAGAACAAAGAAATAGACCTCACTCCTCCTGGGCATGTGCAGGTCATTACAAATCCAAAAGCCTATGTTGTGCCTCCTGTGATGCCAAAAGCTGTGTCAAAAGAAATCCATAAAATGGCGTAAGAAAAAAATTGTGTAACTGCCCCCAAGAATTACTGGCAAAGGTCTCTTTCACACTGAAATTCAGTATTGCAACCAAATGCACATCAGTAGAATAAGCATTTAGGACATTTGAATCAATATGCATTGACACCTTGAAAAGACAGTCTTTTCTTTAAGCACTTTAAGGTTATTTCTTGAGTCTTGCCTACCTTCAGAATCCCATAGTTGAATAGTCAAATTTGTCATTCCATCTTCATCTGTCGCAAGGTTTCTGATAAGGTTTTTGTCACATTCACCACTTGCAGCAGTTTAAGATCTTCTAATTGCAAGAGATAGCTGGAGTTTGGCCAATCTTCTCCATAACTGGATCTTACAATGACAGTTTCTTCAGTCTTTATGAAAAATAGCATTTCAGTCTTTTATATATTCAGAACACTGAGAAATGAGTTCCTTGCTTCTCCCAGAGTCACAAATGACAAAAGCAGGGCAATAACAAGTTTGCTAATCGTTTTGAAAGTTTAAATAAATTACATATGCAAAACCATTAAAAAAACTAAAGAACATTCTTCATACAGGTTCAAGTGACAGTCTGAAGTTGTTAGGTAAGTTGTTTTTGCTGTACCAAAGTCTAGTAGGAGGGACTATCAGGCTTTTCAAAATACGAAGCTATCTAGTGAGTAACAACTTATTTAACCTGTAGTTATGAGAACGTAAAAGCCATAGCAGAAACCACCACTCTTTCCTCTGGACTTCTCATTTCTGCTAATGAAGAAACAGCCTCCCGTTTACCCGAATTTAAAACCTTAGTGTCAGTTTTTAAATTCTCTTTCTTCCTAAGGAAAACCCACACTAAAAGCAGTCACATCCAAAAATCTAAAAGATATTGGGGAGGCCTATAAATAAGTATTACTATTTTATTCATTCAAGTCAAAAATCAAAATACTTACTGAACATGTTTGCTGGGGCACTGAGCTAGGAGCTGGGTATACAATGGTAATCAATTCAGATGCGGTCTCTGCCCTCTTGGAGCTTAGTCAGTAACCGCTTATTGTCTCTTAGAAAACTACAGTGCTCAGGAGTACCTGGGTGGCTCAGTCAGTTAAGCATGGGACCTCAGCTCAGGTCTTGATCTTGTGGTTGTGAGTTCGAGCTCCTACTTAAACAAACAAAAACTGCAGTTCTCAAAGATCAGCCTCGTAGCATCCTTAGGCTGATAATAGTTTTCGTACAACTCTAAAGAGTGATTGTTACCAGGCAAAAACTGAAACTGTTTTTGATGTCCTTAAGTAGTAAAAAAAAAAAAAAAAAAAAAAAAAAAAAAAAATTTCTGGATGATTACCAGATAAGCTTGGAAACCTAGGGAAAGCAGATGGCTGGATCCACAGCCAAAGGTACAACCTAGTTACAGGGCCAACACTCCTGGACATTTGGATGGCAACACAGTGGGGCATAGGAAGGCCACCGGCACTAATTCTAATCTCTTATTCCTTCCTAAAACACTATTCCCTATTCATGTTCAATTAACCCACCTTAGGTCATATGCCTGTGTATTATGAGAAGTAAGGAAAATATCAGGCTTTTTTGGATTTCAAGCCACCGACTCACAAACCCTCTTGTATTTCCCAAACAAGATGCTAGGCCAAAAAAAATAAAATTTTAAAAAGAAAAAAAAACTGAGCCTATACATCTAGTAGTCTCCAAACATACAACCATTTCAGCGGATCCTTCATGTAATCATGACACAATCTTCATCAAATGTAACTCTGATGGTTATGTATTAAGTATTTTAGATTATAAAATATTTGCCCCCTTTTTGACAAATTGTCAAACCAATTTCTATTGCACATTTTTATAGGTTTTTAAATATTCCATTTATATAGGCTAATCTTTCAAATGCAATAGATTCTGTATTTCGTACCTCTTGTTTCCTCGTACCACATTAGGAAAAACATGACACACTGTACCAATATTGATAACAGGGAATGGAACTAATGTTTCTGCAGTACCTCAGTTAAATTCCCAGGGAACTTGCCTCATTTACAATGACAAAACAAAACAGACATAAAACAAGATCTTTATGGACCCCAAACTATTTTTACACTTGATTGACTAAATATCTTAATTCGTAATTTTTGTTGCCCAGGTCAAGGGTATGAAGTATATAAATTTTGTCCACCTTTCTATCAACAACCTTTCCTTTTCCTCATGTTCTCCAAGCCTTCTCTCCTTACTTGAAAACAGCCAGAAATAAAACCTGACAAATCTAGGAAAAAGCTGATACTCCTATCACTGGCACGTATTTACTGGCTGATTACATTTAAACTGAGGCTTATATCATAGTGCTATTACAAATACTTATTACCTAAATGTAACACATCCTCCCCCCCGCCATTTTTTGGGTTTCTACTTAGAATTCTAATTGTCTGTAAGCAGGTGGAAAGATACTAGGGTTGGGTGGGGACAGTCAAACCCTAAAATTTCATTAAGCATCCTCAACTGAAAGCCCTAAAAGAAAGCCTGAGAAAACTGTCTGATTTCAAAGTAGTTTAGAAATGAGACGCTAGAGAGACTTTCTTACCCACGATCTTGTTCTCTAGGTGACCGCTCATGCCGGAACCCCTGGTCCCTGCAGTCTGAGGATGTTCGTACCTGTGTCTCTTCGAGACTAGTTTGCTACATTATCTGGGACCTGATCGAACTTACCACTGCTTTGCCTGTTGACACGAGTCTATCCCTCCATGCTGCTTTGTCTTTTCTCTAACCACAGACAACCCCTCTTCTTCATTCTCCCTGGGTGTAACTCAATTTCTGCCCGTCTTATCTCCCCTCTTCTCAACCCCCATTGCTGTTTTTCCTGGTATTTTTAACTTTAGTTCAATTCATGAGGCATGTGTTCATCACCTACTTTATGTAAGTATTTATGATAGATGCTAAGGTCTGTATTAAAACTTTCTGGCATCTAGGAATATATTTAAGGATTATTTCTACTTCCGGCCTTGTAGTTTCTAATAAAAGAACCACTGGAACATCTGTATTTACTGTCTGTCTACTCATTTGGCACTTGCTACACAGCTTTGTATTATAGTTATAAGTATGCATATATCTCATCATATCCACCATGGCAATTACAATCAAATTCTTATATTCAGTAGGTACTCAAATAATTACCTTAATAAATGAACATACAAGTAGCTGACAGAAGTCAGAAGTTACCTCCATTCCTTGAATGAAAATATGAAGAGATGAACATTCTGAGTTTAATTCCTTTATTTAATTATATGTAAAGCTACTATATATGTCTATGACAAATAAGAAAAGGGACAAAGCCTTCCCCAAAAGAACAAAAAGGGAAAAAGAACAAATTATTTCTATTTCTTCTATATGGTAGTACTTTGTTGAGTACTGATGGAATAGATCAATCGGAAGCATTCATTTTAACATGTAGGTAAAATATAATTCCTTTTGGTACATATTTTGCTTCGATATATATACAAAGATACTGTAATGAAGTTGTGCTACCTCATCTTACTCTCATTTGTAATACATTTACATAAACAAAAAAAGGTAAGTCCTACTGGAGGAGGACCTTTATCAGAGAGATGCCCCAATGCAGTTAGAGAACACCAAGAAAAATCATTTCCTCTTCCTAGGCCTGAGATTCCTCATCTAAAAACTTAGAAGAGTGAATGAGATGGTCTCCAAGTTTCTACGATTCATGTACACACATTACTTTAAGGCTATATATCCTGGCTTCATGATGCAAGGCTTGGCCAGGGTACTTGCTTAAAGCAAAAGTAATACATGTATCTTCTAAAAGCCATCTTTCTTCCTCTGCCTTAGAAGTGGCAATGTCCCAAACAGGAGTCATTCCTTCAGCTTAGATCCTAGAGTAAAGAGGATACGCAGCAGAGTCACAACAGCTGACATTAACTAAATGAAATACACCTTTTTTGTTGTTACTAAGCACAACCTAATAAAAGCTAAAGGTAAGAATTTGCCAATAATTGAATGTCCGTTCATAGTTTAACAAATTCAAATTCAATTTAACAGAAAACTGATGAATTATGACATAATGGAAATAAGTTAAAAAGCAACTTTTAAAAAATAAATATATATAGTATTTGTAGTAAAAGAAATTGACTTTACATAAAATTTTCCTCATCATTTCTGGCTTGAATCCTTACAAGACTATTCCAAATAAGAATCAACATTTTTTAGAAATTGTTCTTCATCATTAAGATATTCCAAGATAATATTTCCACCATTATATAAAGGACAATCCTCCTTAGCAATCCAGGTTTCCAAAGTATGATCCAAGGGTAAGGCTTCTCCTGAAGTAATGTGACATAACCTTAATTTCTGTTAAGGGAAATAAATCATACTGTAATAAACAAACATGCTGGTATACAGTATTCTAAAGCTTTTAGAGAAAAATTATAACCAGTTGTTACCTTAGCTGTTAATTTGTTATTATCATTTTTAAGACTGGTTAAAGAAGCTGCAAAGTCTATGACCTTTCCAATGCTCCACTGGTGGCAAAAGAACATTGGTTTGCTCTTCTCTTTGCTCCCCTTAGGTAAGAAAACCTGAAAGTAAACTCTTTCTTTCTGTAAAGATAAAAAGTTAAAATACAGATTACACATTATATACATACATATATATATTTATTTATATATATATAAAATATAGAGAGAGCATCTGTTTTTGTTTGGTGACCTGTCTTCCTCTCTTCTCCTGGTTAGAGGATTACCCTCTAATGATGGATCTTTTAGTGGGAATACCAATCACAGTACCCAAGAATCCACCTAAATGCATTCGCATAGGACCTAAGGCCCTAGGCGAGGGTGGTCTGTGCAAAGACAAGCATGTGACATAAAATTAGGCCAATCAAGTCTTTTCCTGGGATTTTATGTTCAAGAACTAGGAGAAGGGAGGAGTTTTTTTTTTTTTTTTTTTTTTTTTTTAAGAGTTTGTTTTTTTTGGGACACCTAGGTGGCTCAGTCAGTTAACCATCTGCTTTCAACTCAGGTCATGATCCCAGGGTCCTGGGATTGAGCCCCATATCGGGCTCCAGGAAGCCCGCTTCTCCCTCTCCCTGCCACTCCCCCTGCTTGTGTTCTGTCAAATAAATAAAATCTTAAAAAAAAAAAAAAAAGGAAAAAATTTAAAAGCTATAGCCTCACCAAAAAACAAACAAAAAACAAGCACCTTGAGGATCAAAAATGAAACAAAGAAGTGACAGGTAGGGAGACTGAGCCACAGACTTTCAAAGTCTGAGAAGAGGAAGTAGCAGTCAAGAGTTCAGCTGTGGGTTAGTGGGAAACAATATTACCACATGAAGATGAAGTACGGGGATCGGGCTCACTGCCTGGAAGCAGAGGCTAGCATGGGGCTTATGCTGCAGTAAAGGACGCTGAAGAAGGTACTGCTGAATGCTGACTTAAGCTACTGCTTACAAGAAATAATATTCAGGAAGGCAGAGAAGCACAGATAGAACCTCTTGACAGTGAGTGAAGCCAAGGTCTTCCAACTCACTAAGTGGATCCACAATAATCTGAAAGTCTCTGTAGAGCAAAAGCACAAACTGCCAATCTCAAACCTGAATTGTAATGGAAATCCTGAGTAAATGGGCCAGTGGAAGAAAATGCAAAATTGCCAGAGAGGGAGAGATGAGTGACCACAGTGAGCAATATAGTAAGAACCTCCTACTTAAGACAGACATGTGGAATCTATAAATGGAAATTCAAAACAAAGGTTAACTTACTGTGGGCAGATGAACTAACTGAACTTGAAAAAGATACTTTTATGGACATATCCATAAAAAAAGGAACAAGAAGGTACGAATCAAAAATAGGCAGAAATGAAACAAGGCAAGCTATGAAGATCCAGTGAGAAATATAAAAATTTTTAAATACAGTTTCTGAAATATACTCAAACAGGAGAAATTTCAATAATATTCAATAAAAAGGTTTAACTGATTGGAAGATGTATTTGAGAAAGTCCTCTAGAATGCAGCACAAATAGACCAAGATAGAAATTATAAATCCCAAAAATATGTCTAACAAAAGTTAAGAGAAGGAAGCAATACAGAAATAATGACTAATTTTCCAAAAGTAAAAAAAAATAAATTAAAAATGTACTTCCAGGGCCAACCTAAGCAATCAAAACAAATCCATGTGTAGAAACATTGTATTGAAATTGGAAAACATCACAGATAAACTCTTAACTACCAAAAAAAGACAGATTACCCATAAGGCAACAAGACTGACAGATGTTTCCTCAATAATAAACGGGGGCCAATGAATAGTATATTGAGAGTTGAGAGACTCTAATGGACAATCCAGTTCAAGTGAGGGCAAAATAAGGGCATTTTCAGAAGGCTGAAAGTTTACCAGTGAAGACTCTTAATGAATGAACTTAGCCAAAATAAAAGTGAGTCCTAAGGAAGAAGAAATTCAAAAAATATGTTGGTAAATTTGAACAGCTACTGACTTAAGAATGTGTGAACAAAGATGGGATGAGACACACTCAACTGGAGAAAGCATGTTAAATTAAACTCCTTGTCTTATTCAAGAGGATACAATACTAAGTAACTTTAGACTCTGAAAAAGAGGTAATTATATATTTTAAAAATTAACAATGTAAGCACATGTCTATTATCACATTATAAAACATTACAATGAAGATTCTAGATAATACAGTACAAAAAATGAATTAGTATAATTATTGAAAAATTAAAATTAAAACTCTCCTTATTTGTTAATGGGGTATGATTATTTACCTAGGAAATGAAGGTAAAGAAAAAAAAAAATCAAAGAATTTGGTGATGTGACTGAATAAGATGAACAGAAAACACCCTTTTTTCTCTGTATTAGAAGTACCTGGATATAGAGGTAGGTGGAAATATTCTGTTCACAACAGAAACAAAACCCATGAGATAATTAGGGATGAAAATAAGGAATAAAATTTAAATGAAGAAAAACATAAAATGTTACAGAAGACAAAACAGGAGCTAAATAAAAGACTTCTAGGATTCTTAGACAGGAAGACAAAGTTTTGTATCATACAGCGCGAATCCAAAGGAATGATTTCAGTCAGGACTTGCTAATAGTCTGAACTTGCTGGGAAAGGGAGTTTTACTTTACCTAACTTCACAGAAATCACTAGATAACGTATTGATGGACCTTTTACATCAGTTACTTACACCTAGTGAGCAGGGAGGAAGCCAGAATCTCCACTACAAAGAGGAAGAGCTCAAGAGGGTATGAAATCCTCCTGAGAATAGCAAAGGGGGCTTCTCAAGAATGGCCAAATTTTTACATCCTGTGGGCACTATTACTTACAGCTTATATTCTTGTAGGAAACTGGGGGACATGGGAAGCCACATATCTAAGATCATGCTGTGTTCTCTCTTGCTATTTATGATTTCTGTCAGTTTCTCCATTTCTCCTTCAAAGAGCCTAAAATCTTTAAAGTTACCTACTAGAGTCTGTCACTCAAAAACCCTGTCCCATCAAGACAACCATGAAAATCCTAAGAGGTTTTTGTTTTGTTTTAGTATAGTTGACATACGTTACATTAGTGTAGGTGTACAGCATAGTGATTTGTCAAGTTTATACATTATGCTATGTTCACCACAAGTATAGCTCCCATCTGTCCCCATACAATGCTTTTACCATGTCATTGACTATATTCCCTCTGCTGTGCCTTTCATTCCCCTGACTTATTCATGCCATAACTCGAAGCCTATATCTCTCACTCCCCTTTACCCATTTTGGCCAAACCCCCAACCAGAAAGTTTTTTAAATTTGAATATAATAAGGATGAATAATATGGGTGAATAAAGAATAAAACTGCTAAGAAAAAATATAGATGGGACTTACATTATCATTTTAGAACATTCTATAAAGCTATTGCATCAAATCAATTTGGCACAGAAAAATGAGTAAAAAATGAGTGGAATAAATAGGAAATCCAAAAATAGATCCAATAAAAATAAATCTTAAACTTATTATGAATTGAAATACCAAATATCACCTTCAATAGGAGAAATGATTTAATAATTGGTGATGACAAAACTAGCTAAAAAACTGGAAGAAAATAAAACTGGGTCCTTAGCTCAAAGTATGTGCTAAAAACAAATTCCAGATGGATTAAAGACAAACGCAAGATGCAAAAAAAGTAAAAATCCTAAAGAAAACCAAAGCAGGGAAAAAAAAAAAGCAGACCTTAGAAAAAAGGTTGAAAAGTCAATGAGATACATAAGTGAAATATATTTGATAGATTTTGAAAAAAATTTCCAAAGCAGATTATAGATTTAAAAAAAATTAACATCTATTATATTCCAAGAGTTTCCATAAGTTGACCAAACAAAATAAAGACATGAGAATGGGTAAATGGACAACCAAAGAGAAAAATGATCAAAGGATATGCATGGGTGATTAAAAGAAGAGCAATTACACGTGGCCAACATATTAAAAGACACTCAAGGGACGCCTGGGTGGCTCAGTAGGTTAAGCGTCCGCCTTCGGCTCAGGTCATGATCCCGGGGTTCTGGGATGGAGCCCCGCATCAGGCTCCCTGCTCAGCGGGGAGCCTGCTTCTCCTTCTCCCTCTACCTGCTACTGCCCCCTGCTTGTGCTCTCTTAATAGATAAAATCTTTAAAAAAAAAAAAACAACCAAAAACACTCAAACTGAACAGTAGTCAAGGACATACAAATTAAAGCAATTAGATCTTTTTATAGCCATTAGACTGGAAAACATTTAAAAGGATGGTAACAGCTACTGCAAACCAGGGGAAGAGGAAAGGGTACTCTCATTCTGGCCACAAGAGGCAGCATGTTAAACTGGGTAGGTTGGCAGCCTCATCCCGAGTGATCTTCAGATTATTCATCTGTGAAATGAGGATATAGGATATAGATTATTCCAATACTTCCAGTTATGGAATATACCAGGAGAGTTGTATTAAGAGAAAAAATTTAAAGGTAAGGAAATTGGGCTTTATTGGATATGTAAAAGAAGATCTGAGAAGAATTTTAAGCAGAGCAGTAACATGACCGAATTTATACTTTAAGACTTCTCTGGCTGCTGCATCAAAGCTAGATTGTGGAAAAGCAAATATGGGCACAGGTAGAACAATTAGAAGATCATGTTAATCTAAGCATGCAAGAGATAGTATTGCGCCTGTATTTTTATTTTCTGTATTTATGATGCTTTGACATCTGAGACCTGCTGAGGAGGCATCCACTGTCCCTCTCAGGATCAGCTCTTTCCTAGAGGTAGCACCTGCGAGGGTTCCCTTCATATGCGATCAAACCAATCAGAAATCCATACCCCCAACTGCCTCCAGGGCCACTATTTCCCTAACCTCATCAACCCAGAGCCAAATACCAGACAACGAGGCACTGCCCTACACCCCAGAGCCCACTGAAATCATTCAAACTAACCAATCCTAAACCTGTTTAGACTATCGCATCCATTCCTTCCCACAGAACCACAATAAAGGCTCTTCCCCATGTTTTCTCTCTCTCCCTCTGCCTCCTAACTGATCCTGGTGCTTCCCTGTATAAGTCTTCCTTCACCTTCACCCGATCTTGCATGGC